ATTATTATTAGTGAACTGTTTTCTTTTTCATGATCTTTTTTTTCAGGAACTCTCAAAGCTGAAAAAAGGTGGGTTCGTTCAATTGGTTTCTTATTTCTGAGTTGCACTAGTGACGYAATTTCGTCTCGTGCGGAATGTTCATCAGCTGAATCGCAAGTTTTCAATAGAATTCTTTCTGGTTGACAGCACATGGTGGTCAGTGTTTGACCACCATATGGAACAGATAATGGGATCTAGAATCTTTTAAGCTGAGTGAAAGCCGGCAATTTCATGCGTTAAAAKTTGTTTCTTAGCCCTCTTTATAGCCATGAATACGCATCGAAAACAGAGCAGTTTTCGTATGACTGTGAAAAGCTCAATACAGTAAGCGTACCGTGCGGTGACCGCGAAGTTTCCTAGAATTTTAATTGRCTGATTTTATTCTTGCGCAATGTAATTTGTTTGWTWTTGCCGTCACCTTGGCGTGACMGTGTCCAAGCCGTGTTCATACCGTGTTTCTGGTATTTGATTGGAYGGAGAGTAAATTCTTGTGCAATGTTATTGGTCTGGCGTATACCTTACCGTGTAATGACCGTGTTCGTGAATAATATTTACTTTTATTATATAATTACCAATGAAATATCTATTTTTCTCTATTTCGAAAAATTGATATCTTCACACGTGAAAATAACATGTTAATTTCATATGTGAAAATAACACCATTGCGATGGCTATTCAAAAATACACGGAAAGAATTGCCTGAAAAAGCCAAAACATAGTTCGCTGCGCTCACTCGTGAGAGATCTTTTCAACACTCGAAGATAAATGTAATATCCTCTATCTCTACCGCATCTTAGTTATGATACTATTGGTTGTTTCAGGTTATCACAGAAATCCAGAGTTGACGAAACCGTTTTTGAGGTACTAAAAAGGCTATGCCATTACAAAACCCAGCCACCTAGCTGTACCCAGCCACCCAGCCACCCAGCTGTACCCAGCCACCCAGCCACCCAGTTGTACCCAGCCACCCAGCTGTACCTAGCCACCCAATAACCCATGCCACTTCCAAGAAATGATTCGCTTGTCACGCACAAAGGTTTGAGTATGAGGCTACGTGCTAAATTAAATGAATTTCTTTTCTCTTGTCACGAACCCCTTAGCATTATGCACGAAGCCTTAAATTGAAACCTTTGCGCGTGAAAAGCAAAGCATGTCACAAATCACTGAGCATTACGCACGAAGCCTCACATTGAAACCTTTGCGCGTGAAACGCGAAGCATGCTCTTGGTATATAGTGGGTTTTTAATATGAAACCTTCAGTATCCTCAGCGACCGTTTATTAGTCTATCGCCTCTRGGTGGGGGCCTCGGAGAGGTAGGGTGGCACACGAAGGGAGGGGGAGGRGCGGATCAGTTAATCTTGATGATGTTGGAACAAAAATCCTTTGAACACTTCAAGGGATAAATCTTCTCTTGCTTGATATGCAGAACGTTGCTGAGATGGAAGRTCGTAGATATGCGTCTGAAGATGTCTCAAATACTCCTCCAATCATAACCGAGGATGTATACGAACAAGTCGACCAGCGGTGTGGACCTTATGGCATGACGTCAGACCCACGTGACCAAAAATTCACCATTCAGAACACACACGCAGCTGTAGACCCTGAGGCCAATACTAAGGAAATTGATGAACAGCTCCCTCCCCCTCCCCCACCGCCGATCAACGATGAGGAGTATGAAGAAATAGACCGAGCTGTAGACACAAGTAAAAGAGGTACGAAATCTTTTCTTCCAATGAAAGTGCCMGCTAAGTTTAAATTTGATAAGCTGTGCAGCGAGTATTATGAAGACATGGGAGCGACAACAGCGGGAAGCCCAACGAAAGTTAAAACCAATGTTGGAGAAAGGGACCTCGAGGAGAGAGAAAGGCCTGATTACCAGCCACTTCAGTTAGATATAGACCAATCTGAATATAAAGAGCTTCATAGTTATGGCAACATTAGACGCACTGATCACACGGATTCGTATTAATAATCGATTATAGGGATATTCGTAGAGATCTCGAATTCAGCGTCCAATATAATGGCTCAATGTGAACGACAACATTTGCTAATATAATCTGAATATAAAGAGCTTCATAATTATGGCAACATTAGACGCACTGACCACAATGAATCGTATTCATAATCGATTATAGAGATATTCGTAGAGATCTCGAATTCAACGTCCAAATCCGGCTTATTTCTATAATGCCTCAATGTGAACGACAACATTTTGGTATTCGTAGAAAAAAAAAATGGAGACGTTTCTCTAGGATGCGTTTCAATTTTTATTTTATTTTATCTTTTGCAGTTTCTATCTTTTCCTTTTCTATAACATTCCAGGCTTATTGACTGAGATATTACATATATGATTCTGTCTCTCCAGAGTGAAAGTTGTTTTAGTTGTCTTAAAAGCATTTTACCATATTTATAACAACGTCAAATATTTGCAATCGATGGTGATTTTTCTTTAAAATTTAAAATTT